ACTATTAAAAGTTTTTCTTTTTGTCTTAAAGTACATCTGGGCTGTTGATTTTTAACAAAGTGATTGGCGGTGGTTAATCCTATACCTAGTGTAATAGAAACGGTGAAAGGGAGTTCCCTTGGCCGCCTCCCGGCTCTCCAAATCTCCATGGCTTCTTGCAAGTCCCCTGTAAAGAGAGCTAGGACTGTCTGTTACAGATGACATTCGGTCCTGGTTTCCTTCAGGGCCCTCAGGATGCAGGCTGATTCAGCTAATGGGAGATTTATTGCAAGCAGTGCGCCTTCAAAGGGTGAAATGATCTACTACAGATACGCTTAAAGAACTTTCTGAGATGACTTGATTGCTAACCTGTGTCAGAGTTCTATTTCAAACTTGCAGCAAGGGAACCACCCTTCTGTTAAAGTCAGTTGGAAGATTTTTCTCCAGAGAGTGTTTTCTTTTGTAATAGGGGAGAAAAGGGCAGCTAGCCCAGTGTACCTCACACTTCAGTGTGTGTATGAATCACCAAGGGGTCCTGTTGAACTGCAGGCCCTCATGCAGGAGGTCTGGCGGGGGTGGCCCAAGGCTCTGCCTTTCTAACCAGCTCCCAGGTGACGCTGATGATGCTGATCCAGGGACCACACTTTGGGTAGCAAGGGACCAGAACTCAAGGGAGGAATGGCCAGTTAAAGGCTAGTAGCCTTGTTATAAACCCAGTGGGCCTGCTGTGTGGGTATATCTAACACCCCTGGAAGGACTCTTAATCTCATCTGAGGATATCAGAAAATTACTCAAATATTTTACCAGTTATGCTAGACACTTCTCAGAAGTGACTGTTAATTACCATATTTTATCATATTTAAGAGGCACCTTTTTTTCACATTTTAGTATTTCTGAACTGTGCAGTCATGTACTAATTTAATTGGCATGGGTTTTTCCTTCTTTGTGATTCATAAAATAATGGCACATCTTATCATGCATGATGTATTGGTCAGCTATTTTTAACATAAGGCTGTGTAACAAGCTGCCCCCAAACTCAAGAGACTTTCAATAAAGTATTTCTTCCTTGCCCATGTGTCTGTAGTTTGGCTCACTGAGGCCAAGGTTAGCTGAATTGAGGCCTGTTCCATGGTGTTCTTATTCTTCTGGGTTCAGCAAAATTGTGGGTTTTGTTCTTGTCCTGGACACAACTGAGCGAGCTTATTTCAAGTTTCTGTTTGAGTCCTATCTGCTTACATCCTATTGGCCAAAGAAGTCACATGGCAAAGTCAGAAGTCAGGGTGCTGTACTTACATTCCACCCCTGAATGTAGGGGATCAGAGAATGCTAAATAGTGACTTAATCTGCCACAAATGGTATCCTGGACCTGGCAAAACGTGGTCTAAAGGGGGAAATGGTAAGGTACCAGTTTCTACTCTACATGCCTACAGGTGAACTCTGTACAACAAACAGCTCAGACATACATAGATTTAAAGCTTTAGAGCTCCATACTGAATGTGCTTGTGGGTGCAGCATGCAAGGAGAGAGAAATAAATTCTGGAATTAGTCTTACTGGCTTCCAGTCCCTGCCTTGCCACTTTCCAGCTGTTATGACCCTCATTATTTACTTAACCTTTTCCCCCTGTTTTTCACATCACACCAGCTTCTCAGGATTATTAAGCAAGTTGACAATCGTAACAGCAGCTCACAATCCTTGAGCCATCTGTCCTAGGCGCCACATGAAGCTCTGTTTGTCCACATCTCACTTAGTCTCCCAACAGCCCTTTGAGGGAAGAACTAAGATTTTCCCGTTTGAAGATGAAGAAGCTATGGTTCAGAGAGGTTTAAAACCTGCCTGAGGGAGAGACAAAGATCCCATGGAGAGGTTGTCCTCTCCAAGCCCTACCCCTGTATCTACTTGCCTTCAGGTCTAAAGGTGCTTGGCAGTGAGACAGGGCTTCATCTTTACTTACATCCCTTGGTCTATCTCAGCGAAGGCCTGCTGAGAGCATTCCCACTGCCAAAGTGAACATCCTTCATTCATCAGCTCACACACAGACTCCCAGACAGACAACATATGTCCCTTAAAGAGAAAAACTCCTTCCCATGCATTGGTTAAGAGGAAGTTGCTTTGAGGAGAGGAAGCTTTCCATTTTATCATCTGGTTCTTCCTCCGCTTGCCTGATACAGCTAATTATTTCACTCCCCATCACTCCTCTTACAATGTCATCCAGGGGAGTTTTCCAATGTGGAAAGCAGAGAGGAGTAGGCCCTGGTGAGTGGATTTAAAGGCAAGAACTGCTCTTCCCTGCAAATAGCTCCCTTTACACAAATAGCCTGGTAATCAGCAATGATGATGAAGAAAATGTAGGGAGCATACAGGGGAATTAAATGGGAATTTGTTAAAATATTAAGCATCTTTAAATGGGCTTCTGTGGTGCCATGGGAGCACTTCACAGACCACTGAATGAACATCTCGCAGCCTGAAGATCCCAGAATACACTGGCGGGTCTGTCACGAGGGCCCAGGCCCTCCCCCAACTCTGTTGAGCTCACACCCAGGTGTTTCCTGAAGAGCTAGCAGCTGGGAGTCAGCCTGCCTTACCTGAAAATGGGCTGCAATTCCACTAGAAAAGTTGCTTACTAGATTCCTCAAGTTGGCCATCACTGACTCCCCATCCCTTTCTGTGAGTTCATTAATAAGATGGGCATTTATCACTACTTGGATCTATGGGTTTGCTGCAGACTTGGCTTTACACAATGTCTTCCCTGTACAGGACCTTGAGAGAAATCTCTTCCTAGTTGCAGCACTGGGAATAGCTAGGCATCTCCTGGACAGCTTTTTAAAAACTTTGTGATCATTAGGAATCCCACAAGGGACCGTGTTTCCCTCTTTGCTTTTGCTACTAGGATGCTCAAGGTCAAATTTGTGCCCTAGATCATATGGCAAGTGTTTTGACACCTGTCTTTCCTAATTTTGTTTTCTTGTTTTTCCTGACTTTATCAGTTTTTAATTTTCTGCCTCTAACAAATACATGTTGGAATAAGGGTATAAATAAGTCAAAAAAATCTCCTACCAACCTCTTAATTACTACAGAAAAAAGAAAGATAGATAACTAAGATGCAGAGGTGAAGACTGTGAATTCTTTGAGGATGGGTTCACCTTTGTAATGCCAGTGACTTGGACAGAACCTAACACATAAGTGCCTAACACAGAATTTGACACATAACAGGTGTCCAGCCCAGGGCCTTTCACATAATATTCAAGCCCCTCTTATTTAGCGTGGCTTGTTGCTTATTATACAGTTACTTATTATACTGTCACTTATTATTGCCACTTATCATAAAGTTAAGGATGTTGTTAACCCTCACAGTCAGAGAAAGTACAGAGAGTTAGCCTGCTCCAGAAGTACAGGCCTAAATATTTGATCATACTCTTACTAGTTTGCTAGAGCTGCCATAACAAAGTACTACAAACCAGCTGACTCAAACAACAGAAATGTATTGTCTCATGGTTCTGGAGTCTGGAAGTCCAAAATCAAGGTGTCAGGAAGGTTGGTTCCTCCTGAGGGCAGTGAGAGAATCTGATGCGGGCTTCTCCCCCAGCTGCCAGTAATTTACTGGCAATCTTTGGTGTTCCTTGGCCTGTGGAAGCATCACCCAGATCTCCGCCTTCGTCGTTACATTGCCTTCTCCCTGTGTGCCTGTCTGTGCCCAAATTTCCCCTTCCTAAGGATGCCAGTCATATTGGATTAGGGGTCAGCCTTACTCCAGTATGACCTCATCTTAACTAATTACATCTGCAATGACCTTATTTTCAAATAAGGTCACATTCTGCAATACTGGGGGCTAAGATTTCAATCTGAATTTTGGAGTTCATAGCACATACAGTTCAATCCATAGCACATACATTTCAGTCTCTATTTGCTTACAGGTTCTGCAGAGAAAGACAGAAGCTTTGTCCAGTCACACTGAAATCACTGAAGCCCATCAAGCTGGATGGGTCTGTCCCATGCCCGTGGGAACCCTCCCTTTCTTGTGCACAGTCATCACACACAATGGGTGTGATGCCTGTCCCCACACTCTGTCCCTGAGGACCATGTTCCATCCCAGGACCTGGCAGGTGTTGCTGATGGCTTTCACTCCATAAGAAAATCTGACGACAGCAGGGAAGATTTCACAGCTAAAGGGGAGCCCCTGACACCTGCCAGTCAATGTCAATCCACAAAGTTAGGAGGACCCCGTGGCCCCATAGAATCTCCAAAGTCAGTGGAAGGGATTTCCAGGGCAGGCAGGTGAGACCTGCCAATGGGAAGGCTGACCAGCCACATCTAGAAACACCCTGACAGTCTGCAAACCAGCACACCATACAGCTGGACTCCATAGTGAATCCACTGCCTGGGTTCACAGCCCACCTTGGTGACCTGGCCTGTCAGGGCCTCAGTTTCCTCACCTGTAAATGATAATAACAGCACCTACAACATAGAGCTGTTGTGAGGATAAATAAATTAATTCATGTACCCAGAAATGGGGGAGGGGAGTGCAGTTGGGCAGAGTACAGAAACATTGGAGGACAGAGCTAAGTTATACCACAGATGTGAAATCATGTCGTTGCCTAGCTCGCTGCAAAGGCCTCTGGGTGACTTACTGCCTCTCAGGAGCACATTAGAAGCACTTGAGATGTCTCAGCGAAGTCTGATGGCAGAGGGGGCTGCCTACAGCTCTGCTCCTGGGGTCCTGCACAAGAGGAGGTCAGACTGGGGTATTGGGGGGGAGCTTCTTAATTCGAATTTTTCCATTGCCCCCTGGAGTCGCACCCTGGGGCAAAGTTGCTGAGAAACAACTTCCCTCCTCCCTTCCTCTTGCCTTCTTTCCTTTTTTCCCTTCTTTCTGCCAAACCAGAGTCTTAAAGAGAACACCAATATCTAAAGCGGGCCGACACAGTATTTTCATAGCACAAAAGGCATCGTGGAGTATCACGGACCGTTCTATTCAACGAAAACTAGGTGTTCGCTCAAGAGTCCTTCCTCTCTCCCTCCCCAGCTTCCTGGTCCAGTCAGTGAGGACAGGCCGCGGGTATTTCACCACCCTGAGGGAGGAGAGCGCCTCAAAGAAGAGGCGACTCCAGCTTCGGAAGCTGGAAGAGCAGCAACGGCATCAGTTCCAACCACCCGAGAAGATCTCAGAAATCCCTTACAGGGACAGTCTTTTGACGTAAGCAGACACGGTCGCTGTGGCGCTGACGGCCTTGGGGACCCTGGCGTGTGAGCCACGGCCCGGGAGGGCTGAGGGCTGGCAGCCGTCTCGGGGTGGGACCCCTTCTTGTGCTGGGATCCGATGATTTCTTCGTCTGGCTTGCCTCTCTGGTTTCCAGTCTCCCACCAGTTTGGGCCTAGACACATTCCCGCTTCATTGTCAGCTCGTTGCCACTCTTTTTATTTATATTTTTCTATATTCGTCCAACATTTTTAGTTATTTCTACCCAAAGGATTGGTCTAAATAAGCCAGGCTGCCCTTTGTGCGTTCATTTATTTGCTCATGTATTCATCCTGAGATGAGGGGAAATACGATTTCATGCCTTTAAAGGAGTGGGCATCCCAAGGAGGAGCTTTTGGTGAGCAGGGGGTATTCAAGTGAATATGCAGGTACAGAGGGAAAGCAGGAATGCCTCGGCTCACAGAAGGAATGCAGACGTCCAGAAGACTGGCCGCGAGCCTGAGCGGGAGGGACCCTTCCGAGGAGAGAAGAGAGAAAAAAGCAGCCTTCACAGGGAGAGAGCAGGGATTTCTCTAAAGAGGATTTCGATGACGTTTTGTCTCACAGTGTGATGTAAATCCATTGCTCTGTTTCCCCTATAAGACTGTCAGTAAAAGATCAGTGTGTCCTTAGTGCATAATGGTCTTGGACCTTTGTCTTGGCCAGTTTCAAAGTAAGTTTGGGGGTGAGGCAGCTACCTCGATGCAGGCCTGTTCTCATTGCACAACTATATATGAAGACCTATTGTGTGCAGGCCCTCTGATGGCATGGAGAAATGACAAGGATTAAGGGACAGTCTCTGCCCCCTCTGGTATCATGAGAAAGTACATGGGGGTGCACCCTAAATGCCCTGAAGTTTGTCTCTGAAGGGAGACGCCCCTGCCATGTGTCGCCTTTACTCTCATACCAGGACCACACTCACAGCACGTCTGACTCCAGATGGGTGGGGTTTTATTCCCACACCAAGCAATTCTCTAACACCAGTTAGGTGTCCTACCATCCAATTTAGTTCTGACACTTTCTACCAGGAGATAGCAGTACACCCTACAGGTTAAGGGCTCAGTCCCACCAGACTGCCCCCACATCAGATGCCAGTCGGAAGTACCAGTGTTGCCAGTATTTCTGACAGACTGGCTATAAATCAGGGTTCTCCTGATCCCTTCCTTGGGTTTGATCATTTTCTAGAACGGCTCGCAGAGCTCAGGGAAACACTGGCTTAGTTTATCAGTTTATTATAAATAAAGGCATACAGATGAACAGCCAGATTAAGGGGTACAAGGGCGAGGACTGGAAGGGCAGCTTCTGTTCCTGCAGAGTTGGGGACCGCCACCTTCCCCGTATGTGCCTGTGTTCACCAACCCTGAAGCTCTCTGAACCCTGTACTTTCAGGATTTTTACAGAGGCTTCATCGCATGGGTGTGATCTATCATTTACTCAGTCTCTGGCCCCTCTCCCCTTCCTGGAGGGTGAGGGATGGGACTGAAAGTTCCAAGCTTCTAATCATGGCTTGGTCTTTCTGGTAACCAGCCCCAATCCAGGAGTCATCCAGGACCCCACTCAAGAGTCACCTCCTTAGAACAAAAGACACTCCTATCATCAGGAAATTCCAAGGGATTCAGAAGCTATGTGTCAGGAACCAGGGTCTAAGACCAAGTATTAGAACAATAGATGTTCCCAGTGCTTTATCACTTAGGAAATTACAAGGGTTTTAGGAGCCCTGTGCCAGGAACTGGGGGCAGAAACCAATAACTATCTTTTCTATTATTTAACAACACCCATCCCTTCAAGTTTAGGGGGTGAAGAGAATCTGGAAAGAATCCCCGCAAGTGCGACTTTTGAGCAGGATCTTTAATTCTGAACAGGAATTCACTGGGTGACAGAGAAGAGGCGTGGCTGGGTTCAAGGATATCAGCTGCCCAGAGATTCCCACAGCCAGCATTTCCAGTTAGGATGGCCAAGGCTGCAGAGGGAGGGTAGTGGGGCTGTCATTTCCCAAAAGACAGAAACATTATTTTTGAAGTGAAAAAAGTTAAAGAGGTAGACAAATTACAACCCGAGCCACCTGCATCCAGCCACTCTATGGGCTGCCACTAAAATATCCTCATGGGACTTTGAAGGGGTAAATAATACAGAGAAGGCCACTCAATGAGCAGGGAATTTATTACCCTTCCCATAAGGGTCCCAAGAGCTCAGTGCAAATTCTGCCTTCCTTGAATGCAGTGGTGCTCATGGAGTCTGTATTCCTAGTGACACTAGCCAGCTGGCAGCCTTTCCCTGGAATAAAGAAATGAGCTCATAGCTCTTTTTTTTTTTTTTTT